CTGCTCAGAGACACTTTTTTCGGTAATATTTTTGTTGAAAACAGAGCTAAAACAGACAATATTGTGCCGCCAATCAACTGTATGAAATGTAAGATGACCTATGTAAGTCTGGGGCGGGTGCATTAACTGCATTAATAATTCTTTTATGTGTTATTTCTTCGTAACTAATTAATTAAACGTACACATTAACTCAACAGCCCTAGTAATAACATGATACTTTGTCATTAGTGAAGTACACCAAATTATTTGATTATTAGGAAAAGTTTAGTAAAATCAAGGCAAAGAGGAATAACTGAAACAGACCCTGTTGCTGTGATCGCTGACTTTGATGATCAGGTCGTTCTTTCTCAGATCCCAGACCGAAGCTTTTCCGCTGGGACTGGCCGAGGCCAGGATGTGCTGCACCTGTCTGTTCCACGCAACACAGCTGATGTCCTCTAGGGGCTAAAAGCAACAACAAAATCAAAACCAGACTGAGGTGGAGAATCCAGCCCCTAGATACATGTGGGCTCTCTTTTCTATGCAAGTCTATAGGACTTTTTGAGCAGGCTTTCCATCAACCAGGCAAAAATTTGATTGCTTAGAAAAGCACATTTGCTCTCAACCTTTTTGCCTCTAAGGACCCCCATTGTTCAAAACAATATTCAAAATATTCAGACAATATTCGATATTCCCTGTCCATTCATTAAAATAAGTAACTGGAGTAAGTTTCAGAATTCCAGAAGTTTTAAGAGCTAAATGTTCTTCAGGGATACCACTCTTTTAACCAATTCCAGTCGTTTGTGATTTACTGGATGAGGATTTATGGAAATATTTTTTACTCACAATTTCTACCCGATACAATATTCTAGAGCCCAATTTTAAGATTTGATTAATTTACTTTGATTTACTTTTCCATACTTACTTTCACCATATAGCTTGGTTTTCCAAGGCGTATGAACCCTGGTTCTTCAAAGAAAAAATAAGTTGCTGAAGGTGTGAATTTAAATATGAAATATCTTGATTTTTAGTGAATTTTTAGCTTATTTAATGCTTGTTTTATCTTATTTTAAATTATCTTGTGCCATGCTTTTTTGAGAGCCACAACTACAAGCAATAGTACAGCGATGCATTCCCATGAAAACACTATTAATGACATTGCAAGGACGATGCATCTGCCCAATGTTTATCAGAAAGGAAGAACAAAACTAGAACCCCTGCTGGAGTGCACATGAGATCTGTACCTGAGTTTTGGGTCCTGGCGTCATTGGGGAGCTCAAGTTGTTCAAATCCCAAATGTAGATTTCTGACTCATTTCCCCCAGAGGCCACAAGGTTTGTCTAAAGAAATAAAAACTGTCACCGTCACGGAAAAAATAACAATTCTTGCACAAACTGACCATAGAATAAGAACTTGGTTTGGGTAATTACCTGAAACGAGTTGACGTCGAGAGCTCTTACTGGTCCCGTGTGTTTCTCGCTCTGGGAAATGATCACTTCACTGTCTCCAGCAATG